ATATATAGGAAAAATCTTTAAAAATTTTCTTCTCAAGAACCACTGGGCCAGGAAAGATGAAACTAATGTGGAAACATCCTCAGGTAGTGTAGATTGAAGTTTGTTCAAATCATGACCCCGGGGGTAGGGTGGGGCCAAAATGGCCGATCAAAGTTTAACAATGGAATATATAGGAAAAATCTTCTTGTCAAGAACCATTGAGACAGGAAAGATGAAACTCTTGTGGAATCATCCCCAGGTAGTGTAGATTCGACTGTGTTCAAATCATGACCCCCCGGGGGTAGGGTGGGGCAAAATGGCCGATAAAAGTTTTCATAGGAATACATAGGGAAACCTTTTAAAATCTTCTTTTCAAGTTCATCAAAGCCATGCTTAGTGATATTTATAGGGAATCATACTCAGTTAGTGTTCAAATCATTACCCCCTGGGGGGATAAAATTGAGACGGCCCCCCCCCCCCCTCAGTAAACTTTCAGTTCTAATCTGATATGTGCTTTTTTCCTAGCCAATTGCTCAGGTGAGCGATATGGCCCCTGGGCCTCTTGTTAAATTTGTTTTGCAGAGTCAAATGATAGTAGCCAGATAATGTTTGAAGAGAAATGAGCTTGAAGGAGACATGTATGTGTCAAAATCTATTAAGCGGTATCTTTTCAAATTTATTAAAAAAATATGCAAAATTTCAAACAAAGTGAAAAATAAAATCTTTTTTTTTGTGTATTGCAGCTCAGCAGATGGATTGGACATAAGTGCACTTTTGATGCTACTGTAAGTAAAGTTATCATAAAAATGCTTGATTTGTACAGAACGGGGAAAAAATTTTTGAAAATTTTAAATATTTATATTTAGGGATATGCCAGAGCAATTGGAATTTGAGAAGGAGAAGAGTGTTAGAAAAAGAGATGCGACTGCACTTTCAGAAGAGCTGGATGCAGAAAGACGGAAGGAGGTTGTGATATTGGAGGAGTCTGATGCAATAACAAGGGCAGTGGACCCACTAATGGAGGAGGTGTATGCAGTTACAAGGGAGGAGGACAAACATAAAGGAAATGGATGCAGTAAGAGACAAGAATGCCCTTTTAGAAGAGATGGATGCAGGAACAAGGGCTGCTGAGGACACACTTACAGAGGAGGTGTATGCAGTTACAAGGGAGGAGGACAAACATATAAAGGAGATAGATGCAGTAAGAGACAAGAATGCCCTTTTAGAAGAGGTGGATGTAGTAACAAGGAAGGAAGATAGAATAACAGAGGAGCTGGATGCAGTAACAAGGGCTGCTGAGGACAAACATATAGAGGAGGTGTATGCAGTGACAAGGGAGGAGGACAGACATATAAAGGAGATGGATGCAGTATGAGACAAGAAATGCCCTTTTAGAAGAGGTGGATGCAGTAACAAGGGCTGCTGAGGACCCACTTACAGAGAAGGTGTATGCAGTGACAAGGGAGGAGGACAGACATATAAAGGAGATTGATGCAGTAAGAGACAAGAATGCCCTTTTAGAAGAGGTGGGATGCAGTTACAAGGGCTGCCGAGGACACACTTACAGAGGAGGTGTATGCGGTTACAAGGGAGGAGGACAAACATAGAATCAAGAGTGATGCAGTAATATACAAGAATGCTCTTTTAGAAGAGGTGGCTGTAGTAACAAGGAAGGAAGATACAATAACAGAGGAGCTGGATGCAGTAACAAGGGCTGCTGAGGACACACTTATAGAGGAGGTGTTTGCAGTGACAAGGGAGGAGGACAGACATATAAAGGAGATGGATGCAGTAAGAGACAAGAATGCCCTTTTAGAAGAGGTGGATACAGTAACAAGGGCTGCTGAGGACCCACTTACAGAGAAGGTGTATGCAGTGACAAGGGAGGAGGACAGACATATAAAGGAGATTGATGCAGTAAGAGACAAGAATGCCCTTTTAGAAGAGGTGGATGCAGTTACAAGGGCTGCCGAGGACACACTTACAGAGGAGAGTATGCAGTTACAAGGGAGGAGGACAAACATATAAAGAAGATGGATGCAGTAAGAGACAAGAATGCCCTTTTGGAAGAGGTTGGATGTAGTAACAAGGATGGATGATACAATAACAGAGGAGCTGAATGCAGTAACAAGGGCTGCTGAGGACACACTTACAGAGGAGGTGTTTGCAGTTACAAAGGGAGGACAAACATATAAACGAGATGGATGCAGTAAGAGACAGGAATGCCCTTATAGAAGAGGTGGATGTAGTAACAAGGAAGGAAGATACAATAACAGAGGAGCTGGATGCAGTAACAAGGGCTGCTGAGGACACACTTACAGAGGAGGTGTATGCAGTTACAAGGGAGGAGGACAAACATATAAAGGAGATGGATGCAGTAAGAGACAAGAATGCCCTTTTAGAAGAGGTGGATGTAGTAACAAGGAAGGAAGATACAATAACAGAGGAGCTGGATGCAGTAACAAGGGCTGCCGAGGACACACTTACAGAGGAGGTGTATGCAGTGACAAGGGAGGAGGACAAACACACAGAAGAGACAGATGCTTTGACAGAGGAGGCTACTTCTCAGCAGGATTTGGAAGTTAAACTTCTCAGCAGGATTGGAAGTTAAACTTCATATTCTTGTCTTTTGAATGCTATTTAATATTGATTATACATGGTTGTAGAAAGTTATTTAACCCATCAATGTAATTTTTTAAAAGATTTTCTACAGGGACTTATGTTTTAATTAAACACGGAACCCAACTTTTCCCAGCAGTTGTAAGTTAATGTTAATAGTTAAAAGGAGTGAGAGATGGATCAAACAAGATATTGTTTATGATGTTGAGAGAAGTGATGTTCTTGTAAAACTGGCAGATCCCGTGGAAGAAAAAAAAGAGGCCGAAGAAGTTTTTTTTACATTTTGAAGGTATGTATGAAAATTCAAATCCCTAAATTAAAACACCATTTCCTACAATTTTGCTCTTTTTGATTATAATAAAACTCATTTATTTTCTTTTCAGATGCTATGCTACCAGCTCCTTATGATTTTCTTGGCTGATTGCCTGTTATTATTTGACCATTGTCAAAATTTAAATCTGTGCTGATACAAGATTTTTTTCTTATTATTTTGTTAAAGATAAAATTTTATTAGTAAACTTCAGTTGTATATTAATGAAGAACAAATAATAAAATTACTAAATAAAAATTACAAAGCTGATGAGAGTTAAAATATCCTTACCACGAAAAACTGTGAGGGATGTTATAATGTAACATCCGTCACAGCGCTTAAAATTCATGGAAATACTTTCAGTAGTTTTCATTAGTATTAGCAGAATGTTTGAATGGAGTTGTATTTGACAAATTAACTTCATTGCATGTATAAAGTCGTGTGTATTCTTAACAAAACTTACGAAATGCGTTAAAAAGCGTCGTCAATGTAACCTCCGTAACTACCTTACTTTAGTTTGTCAATTTGCAACATCCATTTCTGAATTGTATGTCAAAAAGTCAAATATAACATCCGTTTATTATAAAGGATAAAAAATTCTTCAAAAAAGAACTAATGTATCCTGTTCTGCTTTTTAATGAAAAACTAGTGTTATTTCCTCATTTAGTGAAAAAAAAACTCACGGTAAACATGATTTCTGTGCAGAAAAACGATTGAAAATGCTATAGTAGGAAAAATTGATGTCACCTCCGTCACGATTAATTGTGCCTTATTAATTTTACAGATAGGTCATAGAAATTTGTCTACTTCGTCCCAAGTAAAAGTGTGGTCAGGTCCATGCATATGATGGTCTTTTTTGGGGTCTCTGTAATGCGAAATAACTTAAAAATTCACATTATATGTGTCAACATAACGCCCATCACTTTTTGATCACCTATATTTGGATGCGATTTTCTTAAAAAATAAGGATGCAACTATCTTTTCTTATTAAATTCATGAAAGAAGGTGTAAATATAAATGTATTTAATTAGAAAAAATGTAAAAAAATATTGACACAATTTTTTTCACTGTGACGGTCGTTATTATTTACAAATAGACAGTTGGCTGCTTTTGATGGTGAAGAACTATTCAACAGTTATATAATACCAAGCCATAACATTTCTCCAACAGCTTCCTCCCTTACAGGATTGTCTTTCGATTTTCACACGAATCAGATGTACCATCATGGGACACCAGTAAAGAGTGAAGATCTTTATACTGCAATGCTGGACTTCGTTGATTACCTCTATAAGAAACAAAAGCCAATCCTCTTTGGGCACAACATTGCAGCATATGATGTTCCTGTTTTGCTGAAGAAATTACAGGAAACCCACCTGCTACCAGAATTTTTAAAGCAAATCGCAGGTTGTATTGATACCCTTAAATTATCTAGAAGACAGTTTGACAAAAATGTTATTGGTAATTACAAACAGCAGAATCTTGTATCTAAGATACTTGGTGAAGATTATGATGCACATGATGCAAGTGCTGATGTAAAGAGCCTTTACAAACTTCTTGGGAAGCTTGATTTTTCAGAAAAGGACATCTTCCCGTTTAATGTGTCAGTATTAACAGAATCTCTTACTCCTCTGATTAGAGCTTCAAGCATAACGAAGCCAACAGCGAGGCGATTAGCGCAATGCGGACTTTGTCAAAGACATTTGCAGTTGGCTTTTAACAGGGGAGGTGAAACTGGACTGAATTTTGTGTTGAAAGAACATGGTTTCAAAGCAAGAACAGCTAAGGCAATCACAAGATTTTTCTCAAGCAAAGAAGAGTAATGTGTTCACAGTTTATACATGTATGCTGTGTAAAGTGTATTTATTGTTAATGTTTGTTGTACTGTTGATGTGTTTTGGTGATTGGCCGCTCCACATGTCCATGGTTTTTATACTATAAAACTTTGTCATTTACAAATATAAGGGAGTGTTTTTCGGGGGCGGTAATTGGCCGCTCCACATGTACATTGTTTTTAGATTATAAAAGTTCATTTGTCATTTACAAATATAAGGGAGTGCTTTTCAGGGGCGGTAATTGGCCTCTCCACATGTACACAGTTTTTATACGAGAAAACGTTTTTTGTCATATACAAATATAAGAGAGTATTTTTCGCATATTTGTACACATATAAAAGTTCATGTGAAATTTACAGGTTAAAGGGAGTGTTTTTAGGGGGGGGGGGGTGCAGTAACTGGCTGTTCCACATGTACACTGTTTTTGTTTTGGTCAATGTTCATGTCTTATGTGCTTTGTGAGTATTGTGTCAGATGCTGTGCTGCTGTTTGCATATGCTAAATTCTGTGCCTTTTGATAATTATATAATTCACTAACTTTTTCTTGGATAAATTTTGATAATTGACAAATGATCTTAAGGATAACTTTTTAAATAATAATAAAATATTTTCTTAAATGTGTCTCTGTGTGCACTTTTTTTTTAAGCGAGAATGTTCATTCTTAACAACATAATCTTTAGAACACACACACCCTCTCTTTCACACACACAACACAGATAAAATTATTATCTCCCTTGATCATCCATGAGTAATATTGACCGACCATGTACCTATTGATTTAATATTGCATAAATATCTATTCTCTGAATAAAGCCATTCATTTATTTTAAAATTCTAGAAAATTTATTGGAGAATCTGGTCTTTATCCTATCATAGATAACAAAAATTAAAAAAATCGGGAAAGGGGGGAGGGGTAAATTTTTCTCTCATTCTCCCTTATATGCTCAGTAAGTGACCATGAAACTTTTACATATTACAGAGAACACATTTATTTTGATACATGGGAAAAAAAATCAAAATTCATTGAGCCATTTTTTAAGGGTGGTCACATATTTAGCAAATTAAGCATTTAAAACATGCTGTTTTGAGGAACACTCATGAGATAATTTTTCATGATTTTTGAAAATTGCCGAGTAGAAATGCCTGATATCTCTAAAATATTAAATTTTACATTCAAACTTATAATTATTGTTTATAAAGTGCATAAAATTCCATATATTTAATTTTTAAATCATTGAAAAATGACTTTGACTTAAATATTTTCAATTCGAGAAAAGGGGGGTAATTCAAACCATATTATCTCCCTTGAATAGCAAGAAAGTGACCATGAAATTAATATATATTGTAGAGGATATCTTAATGTTGATATATGAAAAAAAACAAAAAAAATTATTGAGTGAAATAGTTCAAACAATGCAACTAATAGAAATTAATGTCTTTTAAGTAAGAAAAAGAACTGATAACTTTTTAAAGTTCCCTTGAATATACTTAAAATAACTGAATCAAATTACGTTGAACAATTATTTTTTTATTTTATTTGAACAAGCTTTTATAGACGTCAAATATATACTGCGATATTCACTTCCGGTTTAGTGGCATGGAGTCAAGGATGAACTGTCAAAGTGGAAACAACAAAGCATTGATGTAACCATCAATTGTCGCCTGGGAAATACGGAAATGAGTCTTGATCATCAAACCGTTTCAATATGTATGAAACAGGCATTCGTCAAAATGATGGAGACGATAATCGAGAATATTTTTTAAAACTTCGAGTCGGATGAAAATCAAACAAAAACGATACCCTTTTAAACTTTAATAATTCCTCAATTAAATGTTGGGCGCATAAAATAAAAGAAATTGAAACCAGACACATGCAATCACCTATATTCAAATGAATGTATTTCACTATAATTAATATATAAAACGCAAATTGTGTTTTGTACGTTTTTATGCGACTTCGATGTTCTATACCAGAAGTCTCTGTGAGACTGAAGCTCTACTGGTTTGTACTTATAGCAAAGAAAGAGAAAAGTGCTTAAGTTGAGAATTGAAACATTACAACAGCAATAAATGGAATATTGATCCCTGATGAAGTCTTTTTATGTTCTTCGTGTAGTATCTTGCATGCCACATTAAATTATAATCAGACTAAAATTGTATTTGGAGTAGCATTTTGAGAGTATTTAACAGAAATTTCTATTTTTCATAACAAAGGCAATAATGTTCATCAAACATTAGTCAGTCAAAAACCAAAACATAGAATTACGTATCTTAGTGTAGTCTTCTTGTGTACAAAGTTATACTGAAATCAGACCAAAACTGTAGGAGAAGTAGCATATTGAGAGTATTTAACAGAAATTTCTGTTTTTAGTTACCACGGCAATATCGTTCATCGAAATAAAAAAAAACCGATACACAGAATTATGTATCTTAGTGTAGTCTACTTGTGTGCCAAGTTTTATTGAAATCAGACCAAAACTGTAGGAGGAGTAGCATTTTGAAAGAATTTCACAGAATTTTCTATTTTTAGTAACAACGGCAACACCGTTCATTGAAATCAAAAACTGATACACAGAATTATGTATCTTAGTGTAGCTTACTTGTGTGCCAAGTTATATTGAAATCAGACCAAAACTGTAGGAGGAGTAGCATTTTGAAAAATACAGACAGACGGACGCCGGGAACGCATTGCATCGCATAAGCTCTTCTGGTCTCTGACCAGTAGAGCTAACAAGAGGCCCACGGGCCTTATAGGTCACCTGAGCATTCTGCAACAACTTTCCAATTATTGAATTTGATTCATGTTTTAAGCCAGATGCTATATGGCATTCACAATTTTGAAAGAGGCACCATTGATCATCATAACAATACACTTAGCAGTTGCTTAGCTTGGTTTATTGATTTAAATATGCCCAATAATAAGTTCATAGGATCTTCATGAATGTTTCATAAACATTTCATGAATAAAATTCATGAAAAATTCAAGGTAATTCATGAATTATTCATGATCACCTCGCAGGGGTACTGAATACCCATACGCAAGGTAGGGGAAAAAATGCATTCCAACTAATCAGTAATATTCAGCAATAATCAGTAATGCCCCTAACACTGTGAAATAAACCCCTGACCCTAGGTCCACACAGTGCACAAATTTTAAAAAGGCACCGTTAAAATTGCCTATCAAAAAATAAATAAATGTTTTATAAATACAAAGGAGCAGATTTCAAACAATTAATTCATTTTCAGTATATAAGTAGAGCCCCACCCCCACCCCTGACCCTGGGGCCTTGAAATTCAAAATTTTGCAAGATTAGGGCCCTTGCTCATCATAACTATTTAGGTAGTTCATCTGCTTCATACCCAGAGACAGAGAAGAAAATTTTCAAAGATTTAATGTATATTCACTATATAATCAATAGAGCCCCCCACACACACCAGAACCCCTGACCCTGGGACCATAAAATTCACATTTTGGTAGAGGCACTCTTGCTCATCATAACTATGTACTTAGTTAGTTTATTTAATACCTAGGAGCAGAGAAGAAGATTTCCAAGAATTTATGTATTTTTACTACATAATCAATAGAGCCCCACCCTAACACCAGAACCCCTGACCCTGGGACCATAAAATTCACAATTTTGGTAAAAGCACTCTTGCTCATCTTAACTATGCACTTCGTTAGTTTATTTAATACCTAGGAGCAGAGAAGAAGATTTTCAAAGAATTCATGTATTTTTACAATATAATCTATAGAGCCCCCCCCCCCCCCAACACCAGAAGCCTTGACCCAGGGACCATAAAATTATTCACAATTTTGGTAGAGGCACTCTTGCTCATCATAACTATGCACTTAGTTTATTTAATACCTAGGAGCAGAGAAGAAGATTTTCAAAGAATGTCATGTATTTTCACTATATAATCAATAGAGCCCCACCCCCCCCCCCAATAACACCAGAACTCTTGGCCCTGGGGCCATAAAATTCACAATTTTGGTAGAGGCACTCATGCTCATCATAACTTTGCACTTAGTTAATTTATTTACTATCTAGGAGCAGAGAAGAAGATTTTCAAAGAATTCATGTATTTTTACTATATAATCTATAGAGCCCCCCCCTACCAAAACCCTTGACCCTGGGGCCATAAAATTCACAATTTTGATAGAGGCACTCATGCTCATCATAACTATGCACTTAGTTAATTTATTTAATATCTAGGAGCAGAGAAGAAGATTTTCAAAGAATTCATGTATTTTTACTATATAATCTATAAAGCCCCCCCTACCAAAACCCCTGACCCTGGGGCCATAAAATTCACAATTTTTATAGAGGCACTCATGCTCATCATAACTATGCACTTAGTTAATTTATTTAATATCTAGGAGCAGAGAAGAAGATTTTCAAAGAATTCATGTATTTTTACTATATAATCTATAAAGCCCCCCCCCCCTACCAAAACCCCTGACCCTGGGGCCATAAAATTCACAATTTTGATAAAGGCACTCTTGCTCATCATAACTATGCACTTAGTTAGTTTATTTAATACCCAGGGGCAGAGAAGAAGATTTTCAAAGAAATCATGTATTTTCACTGTATATAATCAAGAGAGCCCCGCCCTAACACCAGAACCCCTGACCCTGGGACCATAAAATTCACAATTTTGGTAGAAGCACTCCTGCTCATCATAACTAACTACTTAGTTGGTTTATTTAATACCCAGGAGTAGAGAAGAAGATTTTCAAAGAAATAATGCATTATCACTACCTACTTATTTAGCCCTGCCCTAGCACTAGAACCTCTGACCCAAGGGCCATGGATTTCACAATTTTGGTAGAGGACTCAATGCTGATTACAATCATGCAAACAGTTTGACTGCTTGATGTCCAGGAGTAAAGAAGAAGATTTTCAAAGATTGCATTAATTTTAGTGGTTTTGGCCCCACCCCTCAGGCCCCAGGGGGGCAGGGATCATGAAATTCACAATTTTTGTTCC